ACATATTTGTTGGACATTTGTATTTCTTTTTTGAGCCCAGGTGCAGGTCTGAGGCCCCAGTTCCTTCACAGCCGGGAAGAGTTTCGAGATCTCAGGTGGAGGACTCCAGAATCAGCTTCTCTGGGGTCCCTGGAGGCGTCTGGAGCAGTGGGACCTGCACCTCCCCACTCCCAGTCCCCTGGGGCTTCAGGGCCTGATAAGCAGCCACTTCCTCGGCTCCCAGTGCTGGGCCTGCAGCTGCTTCCTGTGTTTAGTTCTGCCTCGCCTGTTGCCTCCCGGTGACTCCTCAGCCCTCCAACACTGGTGCAGCCGGCTTCCTCTATTAAGTTCTCTCTGATGAATTACCTATTTTGGATCCTGTTTTCCTGGCTAGACAGTGATTACACATTCATTATTTAATAATTCCCAATCTACCCTAATTGAAAGGAGATCTAAATTACGCCATGCACGAGAGCCAACTGTTTATGGAGAGGATGATGGAGCACTGGCTTATGTCACCCAGAACGGATGGAACAGGACTCTGCTTGGGACCAGCGACTGACACTTGGAGGAAGTGTGCTTGCCTTCCTCTTCGACTTTGCCTAAACCCAGAGTGGCCAACATGTCACTCACGGACCCACTACCTGGTACTTTCTGATGCTCAAGTCTCATAGGAAGTGCTGGGGCGGGAGTAGTGACCACTAGATTTGGGTTTAGGCTTTCCCAGGTCTAGTTGGAGCAGGGAGCCTGATGGAAGAGATAGCAGTTGCTGAGTCAGTCTCTGTCTGTCTGTGGTCTATCTTTCTATCCCTCTCACTCTCTTTTTCTGAGACAGAGCCTCACTATGTAATTCAGTTTGGCTTCCAATTCAGATCCTCCTGCTCAGCCCCCCACATGCAGCCTGTGTCACCACACCTGGCCCTGGGTCTCTTTTCGGCCCACGGGACTGAGTGTGTGCTTTCAAGACTCAGAGAATTCCCAGCTTTAATCTGCTGAATGCCACTTTAGCGCTTCTTCTCCATTTTCCTGCTCATTTTCTTTTGTGGTGATAACCCCTTCACAGATTATGAAAAGTGGGTCAGACAGAATTTTCTTCTCTTTATTTCCATTGTCAGACAGACGTAACTGGATCAGTGCTGCTGCCCTTGCCCAAAGGCAGAACAAGTGCCCCTTGTTTCCTGTGCTGTTTCAATGCAGTGGTGCAGCCCTTCTTCCTTTCCTCTTCCTCCTCCTCTTGTTTCTCTAATTCTCCTCCTCATCCTACCTTCTTCCTCCTTTTGTTTTTGGTTTTTAAAGACAGGGTCTTCTTATGTAGTTCAGGCTGGTCTTGAACTCACTGTGTACCCCTGGCTGATACCAAACTTGCAATCCTCTTGCCTCAGCCTCCTGAGTGCTGGGATCATGGGTGGGCCCCACTGCATCTGGCTTCTAAATATTCAACGGACTTCTTTTCATGCATTTCATATTCACTGGAGTTCAGTTTTCAGTGAACTCTTAAGTGAAGCCAGCCTTACCCTGACCTTAACCAAACCCTAACCACGCCAACCTGTCAGAACCAGGCCACTAGCCTGCACCGGGCTCCTGGTGCAAGTGCAGGGAAGCTGCTGCCACACACATGGCTGTGGTCTTCAGCTGAGTCCGGGCACCATGCCGGAATCCGTGGACACTGCACGCTGCCATCCACTACACGCAGTTATCACACACAGGGACGTCACGTGAGGGGTGATCGAAAAACATGGCAAATGCTGAACATAAAAAATGACACTAAAAGGCACGTTGCCATTAAGCCCCTCAAAATACTCCCCCCCTTGCTTCACACACACTTATTCTATTGTTTTTGCCGCTTCCGAAACAGTTCTGGAAGTCCTCCTTCATGAGTGTGTTTATGAAGTGTGATTAAAAAATACGGTGAATGCAGTCGGCTGGTGCCACCCAGTGGAAAGGCAGTTTGTAAAGATGTTACACTGCATCTTCATCCACCTTATTCACCAATCTAGTGATGCCAGAGGTAAACATTTTAAGTCAGTTAAGGACATCGAGGCATCCAGGACAGCACAACGAAAAACACTCTCCAGAGCTGCTTCAGAAAGTGGTGAGAGTGATAGGATAAGAAGTGTGTTCAAGCCAGGAGTATTTTGATGGGGGACCAATGGCAATGTGTCTTTACTGTGATACATTTAAAAAAATTTAAACAAGTAACATGTTTTGATGACACCTCAAGAATGATTTTTAAAATAAATGCTGTCATGTACATTCCAACTACCAGCTCCAACTAACAAAGGCACTGAAAACAAAACAAAACAAAGGCACTGAAACCCAAAATCATGCTAGTTCAGTGTCAGAGATGTAAACTGAACATAGATCTATTCCCAGTGCCTGTAATTTCTGTTGTGGAGCACTTCTTTCTAGAGGTCCCAAGCAGGGCCGCGACTGTCGTTTGGCCCCGTTTCTCCACGTGTAAGGAATGGAGAATAATCCACATTTCCCAGCTCCCAGAGTGGTGCTGAGGGCCAGGTGGACAGCCAAATCGTAATAGGCAAACGGGGGCTGGTGGCCGTCCCTGCAGGAGCTGTGGGGACAGTGTCACTGACCAGAAGTTTAGGTCTGGCTCTGGGAACCTGGAAGAGTGGTGGTGATTCCACACAGGGTAAGATCTGACCATGCCTGCATTGCCACAGGGAAGCAGATGGTTTGGGGAAATCCAATTTTAGAGGAGAGAAACTGAATTAGCTTTCCAGGGGCCTAGTGGCCAAGACTCGGGTGGAGACAATTACATTAGCTGCCGAGGCCTCACCAGGTCAGCAGGAAGATGGGCTGGGTGAGTGGGGTGGGAAGTAGCCTGGTCACATATCCCTGGCGGGGCTCAAATCATGGCTGAGAGGCAAGAGAGGACCTCATTTGGGGGGATGAAGCCCTTAAACTCCTGCTGACCCTGGTAGGGACCCATAGGCTGCAGGTGACTCTGCTATTGGACTGTCCACATTTCCCAGATGCTCTCTGCAACTTGCATAAAACCAACAGTTGATCTCATATTTCCACATCCAAAACAATAGGGAGCTTTAAAGGCTTGAGTGGAGAAAGGATCTGGGCCATAGTAGAAACCACCAAAGATGCAAACCCAGCTGATTTTTTGCACATGTAATAAAACACACCTAACAGCTGTTTTTTTTTTTTTTTTTTTTTTTGGTGGACTGAGGATTGAACCCAGGGCTTTCCTGCTGAGCTACATTCCCAGCCTTTATTTATTTTGAGACAGTATCTCACTGAATTGCTAAGCTTCTCAGGCTAGGCTTGAATTTGCAGTCCTCCTGCACCAGTGAGGGCTCACAGGTATTCACCTCCACACCTGCTGGCACCATTCAGTGGCACTAAGTACATCCACACAGTAACACAACTGTCAGGGTCTCTACAGCTTCATTATTCCAAAGAGAAATTCTATACTCGTTAGTCTGTCTCCCCTCTTCTCAGCTTCTGGTTGCCTTGAATTTACTTTCTGTCTGTGAGTCTGACTGGAATTAGAGGATGTCTGTTCTTTTCTGTCTGCCTTACTTCACTTGGCCTCACATAAGGTTTATTTGCCTTGCAGTGTGTCAGAACATCTTTTTTTCAGGCCAAGTAATATTCCACGTGCGAATGCATTGGACCGTTGGGTTGTGCCTATCTCTTAGCTATTGTGACTCGGGTTGCAAACCAGGGTGTTCTGGTTTCTGAATTTAATGGCACCAGAGACTTCTTTTCCCCTTGCACTTGGGATGATCCTGAGCTACATCTCCAATCTCTTTCAAATTTATTTTGAGGCAGGGTCTCACTGAATGGCTTAGTTGCCCAGGCCGGGCTTCAGCCTCCCAGTGTGCTGGGGTTATAGCCATGTGCACCATCATGCCTGACCATTCAGGATGCTGCAAGGATGAGGGTGCGTTTGCAATGCCTAACAGTCACATTCCTCTGAGGAACTGGCACATACGTATTGTATGTCTCCATCCTTGATCCATTCCCCCCTCCCTCCTTCCTCCTTCTCTCCCACCTGCAACGAGTCATTCAGGGAAATTGACGCTTTTACTTTCTGTACTTTTTTTAAATTAAGAAAAACTCAAAATGAGGGGCTGGGGATTTAGCTCAGTGGTTCTGCCACCTGCCTCACAAGTGCAAGGAGCTGAGTTTGATCCCTGGTACCCGAGGAAAAAAAAAAAAAAAAAAAAAAAAAAAAAGAGAGAGAGAAAACACAAAATGAACCGAGAAGTGGAGTCTGTGCCCTATTCTTCCTCTGGCAGCCCACTGCAGTGGAGCACAGGCAGCTGAACTACACTTCCCAGAATCCCCCTTGCTGGGTGCTCCTCAAGGGCAGGCAGGGCCTTGTGGGAGGCCTGGAGGGAGTGGACACAGGCTCAGCCAGCTTCTTGCTTCCCAGGACGGTGTGTGTCTAGCTCCTTGACCTCGGACTCTGTCCCTGTAGGTCTCACACATCAGTGAGAGAGAAGGCAGGACAGGGATCTGTCACCCGGGGACCAGCTTGTGCATGCAGCTCCAGCTTGTCCCTGGTCTCCCCTTAATGCGCATTTGCTCCTGTCCTCCCAAACATCCCACAGATACAGAGAGCAGTAAACAGCTTCAGTGACCGTGCAGGGTCCAAGGCCCTGCATGTGTGCATCTGACTGAACCCGGGTGGGCACACACTCATTCAAAGAACATGTCTTCACGGACAAGAACTCTGGGCCCGCCGTGCACCAGACCCAGGGTCCAGTGCTGGGCATAGTGGCGAGTGGCATGAAGTCCCTGCCACCATGGAGCTCAGCTGTGTCCCCAAGACAAAGCCCACTGCTGAGCAAGTCAGGATGGGACTGTGCAACCTTGGATAGTAACTTCTCATCACTCTACACCTCGACTTCCTCATTAGGAACTTCAAACACAGTAAGGAGTAGTTGAAAAACATGAAAATGATACAGCTTTACAAAAAAAAAAAAATTAAAGGAAGCAAAAACCAAAAACCAGCCCCAGATTTTATCATAATCCTTTATTAAGTATCAAATTGTCTTCAATATGTTACAACCCGATTAAATTTGATAGACATTTTTATCCACTTAAAGACAAAAAATTCTCTTTATGTACAATATCTTTTTGTCTGGAATCTAGCAAATATAGTACCTTTCATTGTAGGATTTCTGCTTAACAAGCAAAAATAAACAACTGAAGAAAAAAAAAAAACAAAACTAAAGCAAACCGAAACTCCCAAATCCCTCAATTACAAATGTCAATATAGAATAAAGCATTAAAAAGACAACACAGTATAACTTTTGTTTAGAAATGCAGAATGTGTACTAACATTAGTGGCCAAAAACAAACAAAAACCAAAAATACAAAAAAACCATAAACAAAAACAAAAAAAACCCCACCCAACAATCTTTAGGGGTCAGTTTCCTGCTGGGGAAATGCGCCGTCTCTAGACCATGCCCCGGTCTCTGCGGATGGCACAGCACAGGACCATGCTAAAGATCATGCCAAATATCTGCAAAACAGAATGAGGCGTCAGGCCTGCAGGAGGCTGCCAGAGCTCGAGGATGCTGAGGCTGGTCAGTCGCGATAAGATAATAAACTGCAGACTCCTCGACAGGAGGATAAATTCCCATCTGCTCATTTCAGGAGAGCCCACACGTTCGGGGCGGGGCTGGGGATCGAACTCCAGACCTTTTGCTTGCTAAGCGGGCGCTCTACCACTGCGCCACACCCTCAGCTTCTGCTTTCACCTTCCAGGATGTGCATCTAAAATTTTCCTTTGAAAGGTGTCAGCATGCTGCTCCCAGCCTGTTAGCTTTTGTGAGATTGTTGAGAAAGACGGCCACACTCTTTGGGCAGCCTGTGAGGTTCAGAGGAAGGGGACCACGATAGAGACTGGGGGTTCAGCGAGCCCAGAACCCCAGAAAGGGGCGGTCCCAGTGCAGTGCCCACAGGCTGCATCAGGAGTGTGGGGTGACCTCGAGTAGTCTGGGTGGCCTTTGAAAGTGTCTAGGGGCTGATGGGCAGTACCGCAGTGTCCTGAGACACCCAGTCTGCCACTGGCTGTGTGACGTCTGGGTGCCCTTCAGAATAGAGGAGCAAGTGAAACCTCTAGGAAGCTGCTTTCTCTGGGTGCTTGGGGGACATGCCTGAGAAGCAGCTGGAGTAGCAGCCTCTTCCATCTGCCCCTGAATCACAGTGTGAAGAGAACGGGCTCTGGAGGCACCCCGAGTCCACACAGGCTTTGATCAATATATTCAACTGGTCCATTTCCTTTTGGTGTGGGTGCTGGGGATGGAACCCAGGGTCTTTGCACATGCTAGGTCAATGAGCTACCACGAAGCCACACCCTACCCCTCCACTTCCTAGCGGTAAGATGTAAATACTAAATAAAAGCTCCCATCTTTTACGGACGGTGAGGTGATGTCAGGTGATTAACACAAAGCGTTTCAGACATGGCCTGGCCAGAGCTTGTGCTCAGTAAGTGTTACCGACTCGAAGACCAAAGACCGAGAACCACTGCTCCCCAGAGGATCCCCCACTCACCATCACCACGGCGATGGCGATGCCCACTGCACCAATGATGTGGAACTTGTTGTCAAAGACGTCTTTGATGGCCACGGGGCAGGGCTGGGGGAGGCAAAGGAGAGCTGGGTCAGCACCATCCCATGTTGGGGTGCCCTGTCTCACTTGGGGGGCCCTCCTGACAGGAAGCTGCTTGGGGACAGGTTGCTCAGTGACCATAGATGCCCCAAGAGCTACGGAGGGGGGTCCCTAAGCCCTGGGAGAGACTCAGGGAAGGAAGAGGTTTGTGTCCAGCCCTGCCTGCCCTCCCTCCTGGTGCATGCTGGCTAAGTGCTGTCACCTGAGCTGCACCCCAGCCCACTGGGGCCCAGTTCTGATATGGCTGCAAGGTCCCTTTCATTATTGAGCTTGGCCAGTAGCACACGACTGAGAGCCTTACCACGTCTGAGAAACAAGAGTCCAGGCCTCAGAGGCGTCTGTGCTGACAGCCTGAGGACCTAGTCTGGCCTTTTGTTCTGCCTTCGAAGAAAGGGGGCCCAGGGCACGGGAAGTGGGGTGGCCTCCCCCGGGCCCTTTCAGCTGAAGGGATCCTCAGGAAGTGAAGATTTTCCACCTTACAGAATCTGCCCAGAGTGTTAAGGCAGCGGTGCCAGGAGCTTGTTCCTCAGTTTACCTTGATTTTGAGATTGTTGATGATGCCATTGTCCGGGCAGATGTCCGTGATGAACTGCTCTATGCCCCCCACCACACCACAGCAGTCCAGCTGCAGAGAAAGCAGGACGGAGCGGGGGTTGGAAGAGGCACCCGTTGGGTGCAGCCAGCCCCTGCCTCAGACCCCTGTGGCACCCCCGGAGGAGGAGGCCAGTCCCTGAGGGCGCCTACCGCTTTGTGGATGGCTTTCAGCGTTTCCCGCTGGGGCTCGTCCTTGTTTTTCAGCTTGTTGTAGGTGTCAATGTAAAACTCCTGGACGCGATTAATCACCTGCAGGGCACAGAGCGGAGAGATGGCTTTTCCTGAATTTCTTTATATTTCACCCGCTCTACCCGTCCACTACCTTCCAGTCCTCAGCCAACAAACTCCTGTACCCGGAAGAGGTCACCTGGCAACGGAAGCCCCTAACACTGCGTTCTCAGCGCCACTGTGCCCTTCCACCTCCAGTCCTTGTCCTTTTCTCTTGTGCCTGCTGGTCCCTTTACCCCTACTCACCTCCTTCCCTTGTGCCTGTTAACTACATGGAATTTCTTCCATCAAAAGAATTTTACCAAGATTTTTTTTCCTACTCTCGGACTGGCTGGTTTTTTCAGCTGCTCTGTGTTTTTCTTCATGGAGGTGTGAGTTTGGGCGAATTATTAAAGCTTTCTGCACACCTGTTTTCGCATCTGTAGGGCCGGGGAGGATGACAATCCACACATCTCATAGGTTACTGTGAGGACTTAAGCGAGGCTCTGCACGCTCTGCTGTCAGCACTGAGCCTGATGAATGTGGAAGCAGCATTAGCTGGGGCACCAAGCCACGTAGCTGAACTAAGGCCATGTGTAGGACGTCGGTCTCCTTGACCTCACCCAAGTGACAGACAGGCCTCCGGCTTCTTTCTTTCATACTTCTCCCTTCCTATTCCTATGCTACAGTTTTTGTTGCTTGGATCACTTATTTTCCTCTTAAAGCGGGGTTCCTTCTCCAGGATCGCTCTCCCTCTCCCTTCCCTGGTGAAGAAGACGAGATGAGACGGTCCCTCCAAAACTGTGCGACTGGAGGCTCCACCGGGCCCCGAACTCCTCACTGCTCCCTGCGAAGTGCAGGCTCTGCTGCGCTCAGGTCTTCCTCTGCCAGCCGTCTCCGCCGCCACCCACCTTCTGCCTGTGATCTCGTCTTGAATTTGGGGTCTAAGGCCAGTGTTCCCTTCTTCTGAAGCCACAAGAGAGTCCCCTTCCCCTCGCTATCTTTTCAAATCCCTTGGCACTTTTGGATATAAACCGCTTCTATGACTCTTGTCAGGAACTCCCTTTTCCCACAATAGATGGCAAAGCTCAGAGAGCGACCACAGCTTGGGGCTCTGTGGCTCCTACATGCCCTCTGGTATGGCGGCTGGTTTGAGGTGTTTATATAGTTTAGGAGCAGGGGTGCCCCACTGGCGGAAAGCTATGGTTTCCAGAATCTTTCCAAGAGCTAGGGGTGCCAGGGTGAGAGGCAGACACACATTCTCTCCCCAGGAGGGAGTCCTGAACATCTACTGTGTGCCAGCCCTGAGGCCGGCACAGAACCCCGTGGGCACAGTGTCACACATTGCCTTGGAGGGATGAGCGCTCCGATGGCTGAATGAAGCTGAACGCAGCCAAATGGACCAGTCAGCACCCTCATCTTAAACTCAGACCACTGCGGGACCCGGGAGTTCATGTGGGAAAAACTTACCTCGTCCTTGTGGGTAAAGCCCCAGGCGGCTGCAGCTACTTCAATACCAAATATCACCAAGAGGAAGCAAAAGAACTAAAAGGCAAAGGAGATGGCGTGAGGAGAGATCCTAGCCAACCAGCCAGAAAAAGCCAACCACGATCAGGAGAAGGAAGAATGAAGTCATCTGGGGACACGGGGACAGCCTAGAAGGGCGGAGGGATTTGCACATGGGAAGGGCACCTCTCCTGGGGCAGTGAGGTACAGAGGCCCCAGTGCTGATACTTAAAGCTGTTAGCTAGGAGTCCGTGAACACAAAATTACTCACAAAGTCCACTGGGATTTGGGGAAACAAAGACAGTGAATACACTGTGTTAGGGAACACAATAGCAAATTTTAAAACAAGGAGAGAAAGCGAAAGTCCTTGTGGATTCAAGGAAACAAGCAAACCCAAAAAAGGAAGAAACAAAGTCCTGGAATTTAGCTGCCTAAGGGAAGTGATAAGAATGGCTAGAAAAAGGCAGAGGAATGTCCCTTCCACAGGGGAGAGGCCTGAGCCATGGACAAGATGGCAGCTGGCTAGGGTTATGGATAAGATGGCGGTGGGCTAGAGTCACAGACAAGATGGTGGCTGGCTAGGGCCTGGTGGGAGGGACATGGGGAGGATGAGGAAAGCTTTGCTATGGAGGCACCTGTTGTGTGAATGGGGTTTGCTGGGAGGAGGTGGGGGAGTGGGCCCAGGAATCAGACTGGCCACAGAGAACAAGGAAGGGGTACTCACCAATCCCAGCATGCACTGGGACTCCTGCACAGCTCCACAGCAGCCCAAGAAACCCACCACCATCATGAGGGCCCCGGCTCCAATCAGAATGTAGACTCCTAGGGGAGAAGGAAGAAGACGGCACAGTGGAGCCATTAGCCTACAGACCTGGGTTTCTTCTTTTTGCCTCTGTGTGATTCCATGCGCCTGCCGCTCTTACTGCCCTACCTCAGGGAAGAGGCTCCCTTCTTTCACAAACAGTCCCCTCTACCTCTGCTCGCGTTCCCAGCTGCGGGATGCCGTCAGAGCACGTAGGAAGGCTGTGCATACCCAGAAGTCTGCTCCAGGATGCCAGCTGTGCCTGACTCCTCTTAGGGCACACATGTCCAGCTGTGAGCACCTGCTGGCAAAGGGACAACTACCTTGCTCTAGTGCAAAGGACACAAATCTGGGCATCAAAGTCCTTGTTTCAGTTCCACCATTACTAACCACAGAGTGGCCTTTGGTGAGATGTTTTCCCTCTCTGAGTCTCAATTTTCTTACCTAGTAAAATTAAAGAGGTTGACTTAGAAATTTCAAGCCACCCCTGTGCTATACTAGGAGAGCTTAGAGCTGTAGTACAGCCACTCCAGGTAGAGCGTGGAGAGGGTCTTTCTTGCTAAGAAGAGGGTTAGAAACATTACTTCCAGGCCTTCTATCGGAGAGGCTGAGGGCGGGAAAGTGGAAGCCTGTGCCCCAAACAGTGCAGATTCCTGGGGCAGGGACACAGGGGTGTGACCACGGTCTTGCTCATGCCCTTCTATGCTAAGGGATGCCCAGGGGGCTCATCCTACAGCTGTATTCTTGAGAAACCACAGCTGTCCTGCAGGGCTGCTCCTGTGCGGCAACTGTACCCGAACACAGTGCCCTCACCCCCAAAGGCCCAGTGCCCGGTTAGTGGGCGTGTTCTATGCAACGTCGCAGTGCTCCTGAGCTAGGGCGAGCGGCCTGCTGACACTCAGAACGTGTGGGTGTGCTCTGTGCCTGTGCAGATGCCACTCAGTCTCTCTGGGCAAGGTTTTGTTTTGTTTTTGCCTGCAGAATGAGGGCAGCTGTGAGGAAGGTACAGCCTAGGGGAGAAGCACCAGCTCAGCGTGTGTGAAACCTGGGTTGGGTCCCAGCGTGCACAGGCAGGCAGGCAGGCAGGCAGGCATGGAGGGGTGGTACGGTGGGGGCGTTCAACGATACCATAGCACTCATGACCAAGGATGGCTCTCACTAATTCCGACACTCCAAGAGATAGGTAACAATGACCAACCACCAGAGCGGTGCATTTCTTATACTTGCTGTTATTTTCATGTTGTCCTGTAACTGGGGCCAGAGAAACTTCCTTCTAGCCCTGGGAGTGCAGCAGAGATGTATAGCTCCCCGCCAAAGACACAGCAGGACACGTGAGAATATGGCAGGTGACGCAGAGGTCGAGGCAGTGCAGTGACAGACCTCAAAGCCCCCCAGCTGCAGCTGAGGCACGGGTGGCACATGGGCACACGGGCAGCATTGTGCCTTCCCCACTCCCCGCATCTGCTGCGATGCCAGGTCACGTGGGGCTGCTGGCAACCCCATCTATGAGTGCGGGTATTGTTCCTGCACGCCCGGCCCAGACTGGGCAAAGTGACAAACACGGCCTGTCCTCGAGCATCCTCCGAGAGAGTCAAACACGGGGGCACAGGTGGGACGTGGGGCTGCATTCTGCAGTACAGCCCAATGCCCAGCCCCATGCCCGGGATGGGGAGGAGGCCAGCCTCCCTCCGCTCTGTCCTAACGTGGGGTCACCAGCCGGCAAGCTGGCAGGGAGGCCCTGTATCTTCACCTCTGTGAGCTCCGGAGCAGGCGCTGAACAACCGAGGGGACAGAGATCAGAAGAGTTTACAAGCCCAGGGAACGTGGCCGGCAGGAAGGACACACAGATGTGTCTTCTCTAGTCCATGCCCCAGCACAGAGGCCTGGGGAGCCAGGCAGAAGCCAGCCGCGTGGGTCAGCAGTGAGTTAGCTACCACAGGAGAGAGCCTCTCCCAAGCAGAGAGTGAAAACTGTCTTAACGGGCCTCTCAATTCACATGAAATATTCATTCCAGGGCTCTGCAGAGGCGGACTAAAATAAACGGGTTGAGTGGCTTTAGTGCTGTACCTCGGACCAATCTTAGTCCTCTCCAGTCGAGGGTGAGGGCAACCAGCATTTGGAGTCAACCAGCTTCAGGGCCAGTGGTCATCTGGACGGCAGGCCCAGCTCCCACGCAGTCAGAACTGGTGCTGGGCTCACCTAGTGGAGGCTGTGGCTTGGTATCTTTCCCCCGCCGGTACTGGGGATCGAACTCAGGACCATGTGTTTGCCAGGCAGGCACAGCACCACTGAGCTACCCCCCCATGTGGCTTGTTCTTTTGCAGTGTTGGGAGCAGAACCCAGGCCGAGCCGCACCCCAGCCTGGGCCTGCTCATCTCCCTTTGGGAGAGCTGCTTTCAGCTTGATACCCCAGCTGCTTAGCAAAGGCTGGCGGTGCTAAATGACAAAGTGCCCCCTTCTGTAACACAGTGAATGTTAGCTTTCTGTCTGACTCATGGAAAAAGTTACTCCTCCCAGGCCTGCTCACAATTATCCTGTTTAATTGCATAAGGGCTGTTTATTCTGCTTTTTTTCAGCCTGACATTACAGGCCCAGTAGAAACAGAAAGACTAGAGTGGCAACAGTGCACTCGAGTGCCCTACACACAGAAATGGGGCCCTGCGCCCGCCTCAGAGGACACAACAGCCTTGGGTCTCGGCCCAATCCCACCTCGAGGACAGCACTGTGGGGTGGGGACAACTTGCTTGTGTGCCTTTGGCCTCCTTGAAACCACTTCTACCTCCAAGCAGCCCAAACGGGTTCACAGGACCCTGACTCTGCCCACAGAGCAATTATGCTTGCTAGGCACAGTCTCTCGCAGAGAGGCTGCCAGGAGTCAGCTCTGCCCGTGTCAGGAGGGCAAGGCGAGGCACAGAGCCCCCAAACCAACTGCTTCAGGCCACAGCCAGGCAGGGCCGTTTCCTGAGGACAAGTGCTACGGTCTGGACAGTCACCAGGCAGCTACTTGTCCACAGGTGGCCTCAGAGAGGGGCGGACATCCAGGACCTCCAGGTGGAGCGCTTGGTCTCCCTCACCCAGCGGCCACCAAGGTGTTAAGAAGAACCACTGGCGTGGAACCAAGAAAATGAAGATCCCAAACACCCAGGATTACAGATGCTGCTGGCTGCTGAAGCTCTGGCCTGGGCTGGAGAGCGGCCCATATAAGGCTGTTGGCTGCCCTGGGATTGCTACGAATTTGTCTAAATACTGGGAGGTTTCCCCCTTGCTTCTCCGCAGAAAGTCAGAGCCCCGTGCAAGGGACAGTGAACCCCATGACGTCAGGCAGTGGCCAGTGGGTAACTGGCAGGCCTGGCTCCTCAGCTGGGAGAGCAGCTCCGGGCACACAAAAGCCTGGTCTCAGCCCAGCAGGGACAGGGATGCAGACAGCGACGCCTCCTTGGCCTATTGCCCAGGGACAACAACGGCTCAGTTTCCCAGGCAGGCGCAGCAGGCCCAGGTGGCCGCTCAGCCTGCTGATGTCCTGGGGTCACTGGCACCCCCCACCCCGGCTGTGTGAGCAGCAGAAACTGCAAACCTGAGGGGGCTCCTGGCCTCCCTGGATCGCGGTCTCTGGACTGTGCCTTTCTGTCACCCTGTCACCTCAGAAAGGACACTCAGGGGCCCACGGTAGCCTGTAGGCTCTGAACCCGTGAAGGTTCTGGCTCCTTTGTCCGTGTGCTCAAAGTCACCGGCTCTCCTGCCTGTCGTCTGCTGGCTGGGCCACTGGTGTAAGGGCTCCTCTGCCAGCCACAGCCTGGGAGATGTCACAAGTCCAGGGGCCCCACTGTGCTCCAGTGTGGAGACATGGTCTGCGAAGATTTAAAACATTCTCATGCAGGGGTGGTTACTATTTGGCCTCGGGGCCTTGCTTTCTCCGTCTCTGACACCAGATTCCTTCTGCACAGTCACGAGGATTAACTCTACTATCATGAGTGACTCAACAAACAGGCAGAGATGCCAGCATCTCTCTCCCAGTCTGATGACACCCTCACCTCCCACATCTAAGGACATACAGATCAGGCAGGGCTCCGCACGACAGCAAGAGGAGTGGGGCACGGCGGTGACACCTGGCATCTCAGCTGCTCCAGAGGCTGAGGCAGGAGGGTGCAAGCCTGGGCAATTTGGAGAGTTGGTGAGATGCCATCTCAAAATAAAATTGTAAACAGCATCGGGGATGAGGCTCAGAACCAGGCCCTGGGTTCAGCTCCTAATACCATGACACACAAGGCAAACTGCAGAGAAGAAAGTGAGAAATAGGCACAGGGAGTGGCTCAGTCGCTGTGTCCCTGCCTAGTGTGTGCAAGGTCCTGGGTCCCATCTCCAGCAACACAAAAACAAAACGAGAAGCCCAAGAGCCCAAGAGCCCATCTCCAGCAACACAAAAACAAAACAAGAAGCCCAAGAGCCAGGGTGACAGGAGGGCTGAGGGGCTCCTGAGATGCACCCAGGCTCTTACTCAGCAGAAGCCCGAACTGGCGGCCATCCCTGTCCCAGAACTTTGGGGCACAGGGCGTCCCCGTGGCGGCTACCCCGCTCTCCTATGCAGCACCCCCCTGTCCCCCGCCTTCTGCTCCACAGGGTGGCTAGGGAAACACGGAAATGCTCTGTGGCTAAAACAAGTCAGGGTGCTATGGAAACTGCTCCCTAAAAACTGTGTAGATTTAAAAAAAAAATTTACACTGAGATTTTCTTTCTCTCACATTCTGACAATAGGCAGCCACACCCCCCAAAATTCCCAAACAGCGAAAAGCAGGAAAACCAAAAAACCTACCCACAAGGCTTGGGTGCTATGCAACCGAGGTGGCAGTTTTTACAGATCCCCTCGTCCCAGGAGGCGGTAAAGAGAAGGGGGCACCACTGGCAGCTGCCACTGCCTGGTCCCTGAGACCGGGAGATAAACCCCCTCCAGCCTCAGTAAAAGTAACTGTGGTGGCGGGAAGGAAGTGGCCACTCACACTCAGGCCCATGACCTAACAGCCTCACCCTAAAAATAGGGGACTTCTTTCTCGCAAATGAAGCGGCTCCCACACCCAAACCAGACACACAGCAGAACCACTGGGAAGCCAGGAAGATGCCTCTAACAGGCCTGGTGCCTCGTCCTCTTAGAGGAGCTGACCTGGCATTAAGGAGGACACAGGACACACCGAGGATCCCAGCTCTGCTAAAGCTGGAAACCTTCCCACTGAAAAAGGTTAGAAAAAAAATGAAAGCAAAGCCCACAGCTCAGCACCAGGACCCCAGGAACTGGCTGGAGGCTCGCTCTCCTCCTCTCCCCTCCTAACGCAGGGGCAGTGCCGGATTGAAACGGCACACTGAGCCATGCCCACAGTGCCCCAGCTAATTATCCTGGAGGCCCGTCATCCCAGGTCTGAGTTCTTGTTCAAACGATGGGGACAAGAGCTACGTATTTCTTCCTAGCACGCAGAGCCCCAGGACACAGACTCCCAAATCAGGAGGAGGATGACGCCCTGGAAGCCATCATTAGGAGAGACTCGGCCAGGCCAAGTTCACACCAGAGAAGATGAGATGCTAGCATGAAAAGAAACCACATCAGTCAGATGCAAGCTCAAAGGCATAGTCACATAGCAGTGCACATAGCTTGAGAGGCACAGGACAGGCCCTGCTGCCAGGCTTTCCCAAGCCCACACCCAGAGAGCAAGTCACCTGTGTAGAAGCTGGAGTTACTGTTCGAGTCCTGCTCGAAGATGCTCTTGGTCTGGGAGTCGAATCGGAGCCATAGTCCAATGGCAAGGACCGCAATCCCGGCGAGCTGTAAGACACCCAAGATGCTGGTCAGTGCTGACTGCCACGGGCGAAGGGAGATGTGGCTCTTTGGGACCACCCGGTCTCTTGTGTGCACTGGTAGTGTCAGAAGTGTGTGGGGGGGTGATCAATCTGTATGCCAAAAATATCAGCAAGCTGGAAATACTATCCAGCAGAAGGGCACACGGGCAACAGGCAGCACTAGCGGTCACAGAGTATCACGCAGCCGTGAAGAACGTGGTAAATGCCTACAATGCTACGGTGTGTCGCAGGCAACAATGGCATGAACCACAGGCACTCTCGCAGTATGACTCCATGTAGTTAAAGCTCACTGTGCTATCCACGACACACGTTTGTGCACATCCATGTACATACATGTGATAAAGGAACAAAAAGAGCAAGCAACATTCACAAGTGAGCGGTGGAGGAAGGGACATTCAGGACAGAGTGTGTGGTGGGTGAGCAGGTACCCAGGGTGGCGGCAATATTCTCTCCGTGCCCTGGTATAGTACCCCTCCCTTTTCTTGGTACTTGGGATTGAACCCAGGGCCCTGGGCTCCATGGTTGAGCTCCATCCCTAGCCCCTTTACATTTTCTTTTGAGACAGGATCTTGCTAAGTTTGTCCAGGCTGGCCTCAAACCTGAGACCTCCTGCCTGAGCCTCCAGAGTCTATGGGACGAAGGGTGGACACCCCTGTGTACGCAGACAGGAGCGCAGGCACCAGGGAAGGCAGCCATGATGCCCTTGGACCACACTGCTTGGTGTGGGACTCGTCTCCATCAGCCCCTTAGCGACAGGGCAAGCCTGGCAGCCTTGCTGGACCAGATGTTGCGGAGGGGCCTCCAGCCAACCCTCCCGCCAGTGCCAGCTGAGCTCCCCATCGTCGCCCGTACCAGGGCTCGCAGGGCAGTGACTCACAGCCCGCAGTGCAGTGGCCAGCTGGACGTGGGGTCCGGGTGTGTGTGCCAAGCCCCTCAATAGAGGCCCCTTATGTGGGAGCTCTGCTCTCCAGGTCTGTGGTTCTTGCCCTAGGTGCTGCCACAGCACCTCTTTCCCTCCTCTTCTCCACCACAGGGCAGTAGTTTGGATGTGCTGGGTGGAGACTGGAAATGGTGGCCACCAGAGGCCTCAGCCCACAGTGGACAGAGCTGGCCATACCCCTGGGGTATGAGCCTGTTGGGGACAAGCCTGGATATGCAGATTGGCAGGGGCCAGATACAGGGACCTGCAGTCCTGAGGCCAGTGTGACTTGCTTCAGGAACAGGGAAATACGTGGAAGGCTGCAGGTTTCCTGGCTGTGTAGGGAAAGCTTGCAATCACAGCTAAAACAAGGCAACATCTGTTGGGGCCAATGCAAAAACTGCTGGAATCCAGGTATGGAAAGGACCTAATCCCCACTAACTTGTTCCTCTTTTTTTGTCCTTACTGCAGTCACTGTTCCAGGAAAAGCACTGCCCCCAGCTTCTTGCTGGCTAATAAAAGTGGGTCAACTGTGGAGTTTATCAAACTTGTCCACTAGAGGTAGGCTCCTCCTGGTTCCCTTGAACCTTGAACACTGACTGTTTCTATTCCTGTTGTCCCCCCACAGGTGTCTGAGGATCTGATCGGCCCCAGGCATGAGCTGATGTAGTGCCATCTAAGGTGAGTTTCTGACACTTCCTGGCTTAAGAGCTCTGTCTCCTCAGTTTCCCCATCTGTTCAGCAGGAATGGGGATGTGGCCCTTCTTTGCCTTTTAGGGATGGCTAAAGAAGAAAGGAGTTTAGAAAAAGCACTTCTGAAGGAGGAGGTGCTGAATGCTCTTTGGGAAAAGCTGACCTTAGCACAGAGGCCCGGCACCCTAAATTCTGGGAGCAGCTGCTCAGCTCCTCATGCCTTGGTCCCCACCTGGGGTAAGACAATGGCAAATCTTGGCAAGAACCACACAAGGCTAAGTACCCTTGGCTGAAATGGGACTTGTCGGGATTTGAGGGCTGAAATAAACCTGAGAATGTTGGGCTCCAAGACAGTAAAACACAGGCAAGGGAGAGGCTCTGGGTCTAACCCTGGTGCAACACAGCATTGCTTCCTGGGGGTCACAGGAGGTACCCCTACCCTGGCCCAGCCTGGGGCACCACAGGTGGGCAGGGAGGGAGGGCCCTGCTGGGAGCAGCTGTGCTAGCCTGTGCTTACCAGAGAATCACTCCCAAGTCACCTGTGTCCTGTCGAGTGGAATTCCTCACCACCCATCATCTGCTAGGAAAACTCCTCAAGTCATCAAGGAAAGAAGGGAAAAAGCATCGCCTCGATCATGGCTGAGCTGCAGAAGGTGCTGCAAAGCTGCGCCCTGCACAGCAGCTTCCCCTTGCGGCCAGGGCTCCCGGGAATGACTCCAGACTCAGGAGCAACGAGGTGTCCACCGGGAAACTGTGTGGATTCCTCCACTTTACAGATAGCCCCAGAAGGCCAGCCACTCCTAGTGTACGTGCACAGGCTGTAAGGACAGTGGCTTGCAGAACTGGACCACAGGGGAAAGGAAGCATTCAGGGTTTCCCTCAGCCAAGGCCAAGTGCAGGAGCTGGGGGTCCTGCATGTCTGGACTCCTCCGGACCCATCTTGCTGCTGGATGTTAAAGTCACAACACTACATGACAGCGAATACAGAGAAGCAGCGGGCTTGAGAGAAATGGGAAGAACTCCAACAGACCCGAGTCTTTATGCCTAGAAGTTACCAAGGATTCCAGAAACCCAGAGGGAAGGGAGGGCTGGGTGTGGGACTGGTCCACCTAAGTCAGGAACGAGCAAAGCCACTGCTGTTCAGGACTGAGCTTCTGGGCTGACTGGCCTGAGGATGCCGTGGAAGCCACCAGCTGCCCTGCAATGTGACTGAGGATTGCTTCAGCTAGCTGGGCTGCCACAGCTGGAGCGGCAGCGCCACAAACCTGAATGGCCCATGGCCATTCTGGCTGCAGCACTGTGCTTCCCGGGAAATGTGCTTCTCGGGTGGCACAGGGGCTCTCACCTCCAGCTACTTCCACAGTTGGGAAACTAAGAGGAAAGAAAGAGCTAACAGCCAGCTGATTCAGACAGCTTTGGCCTTCAGAAATGGATGGAGTCTATTTAGGGACTTCATAATCTAAGCTTGAGGTGTGATCAAAATATATACTAGCTTTAAGTTTGAAAAATGTATTACATTAGAAGATACACTGCTGTTAATTCTCTTCAAAATAGCCCCTCTTGATGTGAACATGCTTATCCCGTCCTTCTCGCCACTTTCTGAAGCAGTTCTGGAGGTGCTCTTCTGTGAGTGTCTTTACGGGTTGTTGTGAGCAAAACCACAGCGAATGCAGCTGCCGAGCGCCATCCACCCGGGAGGCAGGCGATCACGGTGTGTCCCCATCCACCTTGTCACCAGACATGGCTAAAAGGACCATGAAAGGTCAATGCTTTAAATCAACTCAGGACATTAAAACAGCCACGACACCACAAGCAGTACACTCACAAGGACGTGCAGAGAGCAGCAAGAAGAACGGGACTCGTGTGTTCAGAGTGAGAGGGTTACTGGCAATGTGTCTTTTAATGGAACACATTAAAAAAATGAAATATTCACCCTACTTTTAGATCACTCCTCATGCAGGTGGCTGTCTGTGCCAGCAGGATCTGGCTCTGCAGATTCAACTGAGCTCAGAGGGAAACAGGTTGGCTGTGCACCAGCTGTGCCTGTACTAAGCATGTGCAGAGCCTGTCCCTTGCCAGCACTCCCTTGCCAGCACTCCCCGAACAGTCCAGTGTACCAGCTGTGCACACAGATGTCACACGGTGGCAGGCTGTGTGTACGGGACGTCACTTTCTGTAAAGGACCTTTTGTCCATGGTTTTGGGATCCGTGGCAGGGAGTAGGGAACCCAATTCTTGTGGCCACAGAAGTTCAGGGGGCCAAGAAGTCGGTGGCTTCCTCCCAGGATAATTAACTGATGTGTGGCAGTCATGGGACCACACAGCTGCCAAGGTACAATGGCCTTCTGTTCCTCAGCGCAGGATCTGAGCAGGTCCAGAGCCTGTGCTGTGTGAGACAATGCCCTGTTCTCGGGCCCTCGAAAGAGGACGGTCACCTGTGACCGCCAGCTGGTGGGGCTGCAGGGAGAAAGTCCAGAGCCCCCACTCGCAGGCTGGGCCCTGCTCACGGTCTGCCTAGCGACCTTGTTTGTTTCCAACAAAAGCCAAGTGGAAACAGTCTGGTTTTGCTGGTAGAAGCGCCTTTGCCATCTGGCCCCAGAAAGGTTCCATCCACTTGACAGCACAGGAAGAAAAGAATAGCTCTTTCCCCATTGTTTTATCGGAAATTTCTGTTTCCTCACTCATGCTTTTTTTTTTTTTTTTTTTTTTTTAAGAGAAAAACAGGATGACCTAAA